TTTACAGTCTCAAGTCTTTTTTGTTTAATGCGACAAGCTTTGATCATCATCATTTGGCAATTATCTGCCATTCTTCACCTCACCTCTTCACCTCTCAAGCTGTCAGGTTTGAACCCTTGATTGGGTTCAAGCCCAGGCTCTGGCTGGGCCACTCAAGGACATTCACAGAGTTGTCTATAAGCAACTCTTGCTCTGTGCTTAGGGGCATTGTCCTGTTGGAAGGTGAACCTTCTGCCCAGTCTGAGATTCTGAATGCTCTGGACTGGGTTTTCATTAAGGCTATCTCAATATTTTGGTGCATTGAGCTTGTCTTCTATTCTGATGAGTCCTTCAGTCCCTGCCGCTGAAAAACAGCCCCACAGCATGAGGCTGCTACCACCACACTTTACTTTTGGGATAGTACTCTGCAGGTGATGAGCGGAGCTGGTTTCCTTCAATGATGCTTGGAATTAAGGTTCTTTCCAAATCTTACCCATTCTATTGAATTTGCCACAGGTTAACGTCACTCGAAGGGAAGTAACATCTACAAGCGATATGAATGCTCCTGAGCTAAATTTCAACTGTCCCAGATAAGGGTATGAATACTTATGCAATGGAATCATTTAAGTTTTTTATTTTTATTAAATTGGCAAATATGTTAAAAACCTGTTTTTTGCTTTACCATTATGGTGTATGGAGTGTAGATTGATGTGGGAAAAAAGTACAAAACCAAATTTGGTACTTTAGTAGTTTAGGTATCTGCTACTTATTGCTTTGCTCTGTTATATTTGTGCCTGTTTAGTTGTATCTCACCTTTGCTGCACTTTCAGTACTGCCTCTGTATTTTAAATACAGCATTATAAGTATCCAACATGTTTGCGAAACACAATCTGAGACTCAGATAACAGGATAAAATTGATCTTTTTAATAAACAAAAACTGAATTTCTACAGTTTCAGACAACACAGATGCCCTTGGTAAAACACAAATATTGATTAAAACATTTAAAACATCAACATTTGTCACAAAAAATTAAGGGAGCAGAGCCTTCAGGCTGCATCGGCCGTGATCATGTTGTGTTGGGCTGTGAGAGGCTGGTCGTAAGAGTTTATTCAGAAAGGAAAGGTGCTAAACGAAGGGCAAATACATTCTAATGTTCCACAGGTACATGTGCTCGGTACTAGTCTTCTCTAGTTTTTTTCTACTGTACATAGTTCTCCTCAGACCTGGAAAAGGAAGTCCTACAACTACAGATATGCATGGATTTGTGGCAGAACAGCCTTCTCTTTTTGTACAGTAAAGGCTTTGTAGGCTCACGAGGGGCCGTTTTAAAAATAAAAACAGAGAGAGTGCAGGAAAGAGGGAGCGAGGTGTTCAAAAACATATACAAGTGAAAGTAGACTACTCAACGTCATGCTTTCAGTTCTTCAGTATCCTGAAACTGGCCACTGCAACACCTGGGAAGTGCAGTTACAAGAACACTGTCATGAGCACAGTGGATGAACGGGGAAAAGCAGAACCTTGCAGTGGCTCTATCCCATTTACCTGCAAAATCCACATCCCACACAGTCAATGTTTTATCGTACACAAAATATTCATGGGCGTTCATCAAGAGCTGCCATGCAAAGTGAGGTCTTGAGCTTTCTGTGAGGCCTCAAAGAATCTGTGGAAGTTGTCAGCGTCTATTGCCTCTACAAAGAAACAAAAACCCTAAAAACAAGAAAATCTTGTGCTCTTAAGTTGAGAGGCAGGGATGGTGGCGGCAGCATCCACCTTCTTCAGTCACGCTGTGCTCGCTTGCATTCACTCCAAAATAAAAACACACACATGCAGAATGTACAAGTATTTACAGCTCACGCACATCGGTTAAAAAAAGCTACAGTATTAATATGAACATAAAAACGTTTGAGTACGGCTGAATCAAAAGGTAAGTAACTACTCAAGTATTTTGACCATTATGGATGATTCACCACGAGGCTCTTATGTGGCGCCAATGTCCATCCAACCTGATGCTCACGGGCCTTCCAGACACTCATTCACAGAGGATTTCAGATATGGAGATGGGAAGAAACCAGAGCCTTGGAGAAGGATGAAGAATCATGATCTCCACCTTCTGCCAGATGTTCTAGGACAAGCGTCTTTCACATCTGCCTCAATAAAGTGCATTTGCTTCAAAGCTGATTTTGTAAATACTACAGATTCCTCCTAAGTTCAACCATGTGACTGTGTATGTGTGTGGTACCAGAAATTACAGTCCAACTTTGGGCTTCACATCCGGCCCATGTCATCTTTCAACACTATCATCAATAACACTAGCATATCATTCTAAAAAACCAATAAATAATCAGAGCAATAGAGTGCGGTATAAAACAATAAGATGAACTGATTTGCATTGATGTTCATTTGCTGGGCCTCCAAGGATTCCCAGTCCAAAATCCCTTTAGTTCACGTAAAAAAAAATAGTGAAAAACAGAAGATGGATCCAAATGCAGGTCCAACGGCTTTTTCATACTATTACGTCTCTGTTTAGTTTTCATCTTTGGTAGTGAACTTGTGCACATCCTTCTCAAAAAATGTAATACTTGGTCTGTTGCTTGTGATTGAAAGGAATCAAAAGGAACTGAAAGTGCTTTGCTATAAAACAAAAACATGGGATTTGTTTAGTCTTCTCTGTGGTTTGAGAAGATGATGGTCCCTGGAGTGAGAGCACTGGCCGAGATTTTACAGATCATGCTCTTTATTCGTACAGGGTCACGGTGCAGTAACACAAAGCTGAGATTCTCCGGTCCACGCTTGCCTTGTCTGTACAAAACAAACAAAGAGAAAACATGTTAAAAGGATTTTACTTCAGCTTTGTTTAGTAAACAATCATAATGAAATGTAAGAAGTTGACTCACATTTGGTGACGTTTTCTATATCAGCTGGGTCCTGAAGGATCTTGGAAAGGCCTTCCAGCAGCATGGAGGCTTTGTTGTAGCGATATGCGATGTCCTCTGTCTGCTGGAACATCTCGTCTAGTGCAGCCGACTGCACCTGTTACACAAACATGACACCAATGTTAACCACTCATTCAATCACGCAACAAAGCTCAAAGTGAGGCCGCCATGACCATCCTTACTCACCATCTCTACA